TGTTGTATGGTCAAAGGAGATAATAATCTTCCTAAATTATAAATTATAGTTCCCTAGTATATTGCCATGTATATTATAGTCAAAGGAAATAATTAACTTGATAAAAATGATAATTATCAATTTATAGTTAGTAGAATCCGAATATGATCTGACTTGGAAATGACCCGACCTGATTGTAACCTGCAAATTACTGACTTGAACATAACCTGACTTGACTCCGAGAATGACCCGACTTGGAAATGACCCAACCTGATTATAACTCGCAAATTATTGACTTGAAACGAACCCGGCTTGAACCCGAAAATGACCCGACTTAAAAATGACCCAATTATAGGGTTTTAGGTACTTTAATGCGGAATTTTACGAATCATATTCGCTTGCACCTAAATAGGATCTACAAGCATAACACATAAAGAATCACATAATACATACCTTTGACGCGTGATTTTCACCAGTAATTGACTGACAATAAGGGAGATAATAGAGGCCCAAGTGTTGCTCCTCTACTTAGTCCACGAGATAGGATTGAATCTCCATTACTGCTAGGTAGTTGGGCACGAACACTTCGAACCACCTTCTACGGAGAGGGGAGGAGAAAACCGAGCCACGAACAACCACGACCACCACCGTGCACCACCGTACGGAAGAGGAGAGAGTATGTGCGTGAGGCTAGGGTTTGGTTGCTAGCAAGTCTATTCTCAATTGAATGCTCAAGTGTGTTATATCAAACCCTTGGCAAGGCCTCTATTTATACATCATTTGTATAATTAGAGTACAAGCCCACAATACTCTCCCTTCACAACCCATATGTCCGATCACTCCATGAGACCCAATAATGGGCTTCTTTCTTTTGTTCAATCCAACACCATTTTGTGTGACCTTATAGGATCCATTCCATTAGGCTTTGGACTATTTGACTACCCCAAAGATCATTGATCACGTCCAGCAACAGATAATAATGACCCAAAATAACGAACTTAATTATCTCCATAATTAAATCCATTATATATCTAATAATTGAACTTGACGAAAACATAAATCCTTCACCAACCTAATTATAACCCGCAAATTATTGACTTGAATCGAACCCGACTCAGACCCGAGAATGACCCGACCTGATTCTAACCCGCAAATTATTGACTTGAACTGAACCCGACTCGAACCCGAGAATTACCCTAACCCATTTTAACCCGAATTAAACCCGATCTATTGTTCACCCGACCCTAATGTAACCCGACCTGTTATTAACACGACCCAAACCCGATAAGAAGCATGACCCGATGTGACCGACTCAAGTATGACCCAACCCAAACCCGACCCGCATAAGTTATGGAATTAATCCGAATTGACCCGACCCACTCTTACTGACCCAAACCCGACCCGTTTACTCGAATTGACAGCTATACCCGAAACCTCAAAGTTTTCTCAAAAAAGCGTGGATATTAGCCTTCAATTTTGGAATTTTTTTGACTTTTTTTTCACCCAAAAATAAAAATTGCCAAAATGTTTACCAAGGTTCCTTATATCCTCCGGGAGTCCAATTGGCTAGGTGATACCATCCAATTTGCCTTTAAATGACCAATTTATCGGTTTACAGCTTGCATCGATTTCATTAAATCGAGCTTACCAGGGACATTAATGACAACATATAATAATCATGTATGGATCCAGACGACGTTATATGACCCCGAGATGTATCCCTTAAAATCTCAATGCTTTTCGATACCGGGTCCCGAAACATTCAAAATTTCTCAAAAAAACGTGGATATTAGCTTTCAATTTTGGAATTTTTTGACTTTTTTTCGCCCGGATATTAAAATTGCTGAAATGTTTACCATCGTACCAAATACCATCCAAGAGTCCAATTAGGTGGGTGGAACCATCCAATTTGACTTTAAACGACCAATTTACCATTTTACAACTTGCACCAGGCCAATTTCATTAACTCAAGACTACCACAAACATTTTTAACAACAAATAATGATCAAATATGGTTCCAAATGACATTATATGACCACGAGATGTATCCCTTAGAAATTCAAGACTTTTCGATATCGAGCCCTAAAACCTCCAAAAAATTTTAAAAAGTGTGGATATTAGCCTTCAATTTTGTAATTTTTGAATTTTTTTGCCTGGAAATAAAAATTGTTGAAATGTTTACTATGGTCCCTAATACCCTGTGGGAGTCCAATTGGTTGGGTGGAACCATCCAATTTGCCTTTAAACGACCAATTTACCGATTTACAACTTGCAATGATTTCATTAATTCAAGTCTACAACGAACATTTATGACAACATATAATGACCATATATAGTTCCAAATGACATTATATGACTCCGAAATGTATCCCCTAAAATTTTAAGCCTTTTTCGACACCATGTCCAGAAACCTCCAAAAATATATCAAAAAGCGTGGATAGCCTTTAATTTTTTATTTTTTTGACTTTTTTTGGCCTGGAAATAAAAATTGTCGAAATGTTTACCATGGTGCCTAATACCCTATGGGAGTCCAATTGGGTGGGTGGAACCATTCAATTTGCCTTTAAACGGCAAATTTACCGATTTATTGCACCAATTTCATTAATTCAAGCATACCACAAACATTTATGACAACAAATAATGATCATATATGGTTTCAAACGGCATTATATGACCCCGATATGTATCTCCTAAAATCTCAATCCTTTTCGACACCTGGCCCCGACACCTTCAAAATTTTCTCAAAAAGCGCGGATATTAGCTTTCAATTTTGGAATTTTTTGACTTTTTTTTTGCCTGGAAATAAAAATTGCCTAAATGTTTACCATGGTCCCTAATACCCTCTGAGAGTCCAATTGGGTGGGCGGAACCATCCAATTTGCCTTTAAACGACCAATTTACCGGTTTACAATTTGCACCCTGATTTCATTAACTGAAGCCTACCACGAACATTTTTGACAACAAATAGTGATCATATATGGTTCCAAACGACATTATATGGCCCCGAGATGTATTGTCAAGAATCTCAAGGCTTTTCGATACCGGTCCCCGAGACCTCCAAAATTTCTCAAAAAGCGTGGATATTAGCCTTTAATTTTGGAATTTTTAGACTTTTTTTCACCCGGAAATAATAATTGCCGAAATTTTTACCATGGTCCCTAATATCTTTCGGGAGTCCAATTGGTTGGGTGGAACCATCCAATTTGCCTTTAAATGGCCTATTTATCGGTTTATAACTTGCACCGACTTCATTAACTCAAACCTACCACGAGCATTTATGACGACAAATAATGATCATATAAAGTTCCAAACGACATTAAATGACCCTAAAATGTATCCCCTAGAATTTCAAGACTTTTTGACACCGGACACCAAATCTTCCAAATTTTCTCAAAAAGCGTGTATATTAGTCTTCAATTTTGAATTTTTTTGATTTTTTTTCGTCCGGAAATAAAATTTGCCGAAATGTTTACCATGGTCCCTAATACCCTCCGGGAGTCTAATTGGGTGGGTGGAAGTGTGGAACCATCCAATTTGCCTTTAAACAACCAATTTACCTACTTACAACTTGCACCGATTTCATCGATTCAGTCCTATCACGAACATTTATGACAATAAATAATGATCATATATGGTTCCAAATAGCATTATTGACCCCGAGATGTATCCCCTAAATTTCAAGACTTTTTTACATCGGGCTCTGAAATCTCCAAAATTTCTCAAAAAACGTGGATATTAGTCTTTAATTTTGGGAATTTTTTGACTTTTTTTTGTCCGGAAATAAAAATTTTCGAAATGTTTACCATGGTCCCTAATACACTCCGTGAGTCCAATTGGGTTTGTGGAACCATCCAATTTGCCTTTAAACGACCAATTTAATTACCGGTTTACAACTTGCACGGATTTTGTTATTTCAAGCCTAATTCGAACATTTATGACAACATATAATGATCATATAAGGTCCCAAACGACATTATATGACTCCGAGATGTCTTGTCTAAAATATTAATACTTTTCTATTCCGGGCCCCGAAACCGGCCTCTAAAATTTTTTAAAAAACGTGGATATTCAATTTTGATTTTTTTGATTTTTTTTCGCTCGAAAATAAAAATTGCCCAAATGTTTACCATGGTCCCTAATATCCTCCGGAAGTCTAATTGGGTGGGTGGAACCATCCAATTTTCCTTTAAACGACCAATTTACCAGTTTACAACTTGAACTGATTTGATTAATTTAAGCCTACCACGAACATTAGTAACAACAAATATTGATCATATATGGTTCCAAACGACATTATATGACCCCGATATGTATCCCATACAATTTCAATACTTTTTGACACTGGGACCTGAAACCTCAAAAATTTCTCAAAAAGTGTGGATTAACCTTCAATTTTGGAAATTTTTGACTTTTTTTCGCCTGAAAATAAAAATTGCCGAAATGTTAACTATGGTCCCTAATACCCTTCAGGAATCCAAATGGGTGTGTGGAACCATTCAATTTGCTTTTAAACGGCCAATTTACCGTTTTTCAACTTGCACCGATTTACCGGTTTACAGCGACCAATTTAATTAATCTGCAACGAACCCGGACGTAAAACAATTTTAATTACGGAATCAACTCTTATACTAATTACATAATCTTAACCTCTCATCTATCTATACTAATTTATTAAAAGACGTTACCAATACAAGTACAACATAAAGAGTGTATATTCGCAATACAATTTTAATTACAAAAACTACTCTTATACAAATTGCACAATCTTAACCTCTCATCTATCTATACTAATCTATTAAAATACGTTACTAAGAACGTCTCTATGCCATGTAGATCACGCCACATCACCTACTCTATCTCTCATTATACCACATCATCACTACTCAATCAACTTGAATCATTATGCCACGATGATAAAAGAATTCGAATACCCAACCTCTTATAAGAAGAATTGTTATTTGACTATCTTAGCCAATTTTTTTTTTTGAAGCAACTATCTAAGCCAATCATCAACTATGTTATTAAACATAAAAAAACAAGCCAAATTATTTTAAAATGATATCAACAACAAAATATATAAAAGAAATATGGAAAAATTATCACCATTATAGTTCTAGTTAAAAGTAGCACAAAAACATAAAATATGTGAAAGGACGAGTATGGTCAAAGAACCCTATAAACGGCAAGGCACCCTAAGTCCCTAACACAGTCAAGGTCACCCAACGCAGGGGCATTTCCGTCCAAAAACAAAATAAACAAAAAGGGCGGGAAAACCCCAATTGTTCTACCTCTCACAAATCACAATCCCCATCTTCATCCCGCCATTTTCCCCCATTTTTCACTCTTCACTCCACTTCCCTTCCTCTCACATCTTCCCACTTTCTCTCTCCTCAAAAACTTGCCGGAGTTTCACCGGATTAGGTCTACTATGAGCGGCGATTTCCGACGTCGTGATCGGAAAGATGACCGGAATTGGAAGAAGAAGCAGCAGCAATTGGTTCGAAGTGCTGAAGACGAGCTTGAATCTAAGCTAGGGTTTGATGTATTTACTGAAGGTGATAAGCGTCTTGGTTGGCTACTTACGTTATCATCTGTAAGTTTGCAGTAATTCGCTAATTTGGCTTAAAAGCTGCTGAAATTGTGGAGCTTTTTTTTAGGGTTTGGGATTTTGGTGAATTGATTTGAGTAATTGATCGATTGATTGATTAATTGGATTGTTTGTGTTTGTAGTCGTCACTTCAAGATAAAGATAGCGGGAATTTGTACAGTTGCGTAGATTTGTATTTTGTTACTCAGGTGAGTGGAATTGGAACCCTAATTTTTGTGCTGAATTTTGGGGTTTTGTTTAATTTTTTTACTGAATTGAAGTTTTTGGGGTTGTAGGATGGGTCTAGCTTCAAGGTGAAGTATAAATTTCGGCCTTATTTTTACGCGGCCACAAAAGTAAGTGTTTTTGAATGCTCAATTGTTGTCATTTAACAATGTCGTTTTTTATTATCCACAAGCTGGGATATTTGTTCGTTAAGTTGATGGGCTTTTTTGGGACTTTGCAGGATAAAATGGAGACTGATGTAGATGCATATCTTAGACGGCGGTATGAAAATGACATAGCCAATATAGAGATTGTGGAGAAGGAAGACCTTGATCTTGTAAGTTTTTTGTTGGCATTAAGTTGTTCCTCCATTTTTATGTAATGCTATTAAGAGTATAAGAAAATCCCAAAGGCAATTAGGCTATAAACGTCGTTGATTCTTGGACTTGGCTATTTTGTGAAAAAAGTTCCTTGATTTTGAACTAAAGTAATGTGTCCAAGTGTCATGAAGAGTCCGAGTAGGTTTCTTTGTTATATTATTGTTCACAAGTCAAATTTTACTGAGGGCGTTGCATAATTTACTAGAAAACTGTTATATTCTGGGGTTTCATACTATGGACATCACTTAATCGGTAGGAACACTTTGGAAAGTTCAATAGTTAGTTCGTACTAAGTTAAAAAGTCAATAATAATCATATATATATATAGAAAGAATTTTTATATCTCTTTAAAAACAAACAAATTGATATACTTGATTGATGACACTACTTGGAGCCCTGAAGATATATGTAGTAATGTAGATACCTTTTATGTACATTCGTTATATACCTTCTCTCATATACTCAATCTGCACAGTGCACACACACTAGTTATGCTACTCTCTTTGTGTGCCTTGTGTTACATTTCTCTTTAGATAGCATTTGTTACTGTCTGATTCTACTGTTATTGCATTCCTTCTTGTTGTCAGTACTCCATTGGCACCGTTAGTAGTATACTTTACTAGATCACCTTCTTATAGAATTCATCTCGCTAACCTTTTTTCCCGTGTGCCTTGGAGACAGAAAAACCACTTATCTGGGTTACGGAAGTCATACTTAAAGATATCATTTGACACAGTCCAACAGTTAATGAGTGTGAGGAATGACCTGTTACGGGTTGTTGATAGAAATCAAACAAAGTTTGAAGCCGCTCAAGCTTACGAGTCTATTATCACTGGAAAAGGGTGAGGCTCCCTGCCTTTCCGTGTTGATTTGATATGAATTCAGAATTAATTATTATCCTTTTAAGTGTTACTGCCACCTACAGTGCTGAGTTTGAATATCTCATATGTGATCTGCAGCCAGCAAAGGCCTCACGATTTTGTTGATTGCATAACTGATCTCCGCGAATATGATGTTCCTTATCACGTCCGATTTTGCATTGACAATGGTATACTTTACCTTTTAACACATAATATACTCTCCTCAATCTTTGGAATATGCAGTGTCATAATGAAAGTAGTTTGTTTTTGTATGATGCAGATGTGAGGTGTGGACAATGGTACGATGTCAGTATATCGAGCACAGGTGTTGTGCTTGATAAGAGGATAGACCTGCTGCAACGTGCTGAAGTTCATGTTTGTGCATTTGATATAGAGACTACAAAGCTTCCTTTGAAATTCCCAGATGCTGAGTATGATTTGATAATGATGATCTCATACATGGTTGATGGACAAGGATATTTGATTATAAACCGAGAGGTGATGCGAAGAACTCAAAGTGCTTTCAAACTTGTGGTTTACGTTTGTCAAACTTCTTTCTGGCTAAAATGTGTTTTTTCTTTCTACTACATATCTATATAAGTATATATGCTTAAATTTCTCCTGATTATTTGTGGTTGTTTTATACTATTATTCTATTCACATTTGTTGAACTTAATGTAAGATTTTCACTTTAAAGTTTTTACCTTTTGCTTGCTAGATAGATATCAATATATATTGATGATTTGTTTGATATTGGCAGTGTGTTGGGGACGATATAGAGGACTTGGAGTACACTCCAAAACCAGAATTTGAAGGATATTTCAGAGTCACCAATGTGAAAAATGAGGTGAGCTTTTAAGTGCTTTGGTTAGCTTTGATCATATTCTTCTTTCTGACACTTGATTCACTATTCATAGGTGGAGCTTTTAAGACACTGGTTTTCTCATATGCTAGATGTAAAGCCTGGTATATATGTTACATACAACGGGGATTTCTTTGACTGGCCATTTTTGGAACGCAGAGCAGCCCACCATGGCTTAAAAATGAGTGATGTGGGTACTTTGTCTCTATAGTTTCATGCCATTCTGTTATACACCTTATAGACTCTTTACAACTTACAAAATCCCAGCTCATATATGAATTACTTCTTTTAACAAGACAGTGATTTCACTATTTCAGTAATTTTATGTTGGGTAAGCTTATAAGTTGGTTTAGATATGTGTTGATGTTGTTGCTTTAAAGTTGTCAATCCTAATTCTTGAATTACCCCTCTGCCCTCTCTTTTGAGATGAATCTTTCTCTCTCTTTATTTTTATTTTTCCATTTTTATTGCAGGAGATTGGTTTTCAGTGTGACAAGGTTCAGGGTGAATGTCGTGCTAGATTTTCTTGCCACCTCGATTGCTTTGCATGGGTTAAGCGAGACAGTTATCTTCCTCAAGGGAGTCAGGGCTTGAAGGTATCCCATCTTTTTTTGGTTTTTCTGAAACTGTCAGTCTGTCACAATTCCAGATCCGTAATCCTACATAAGATCCTGCAAGGGTTCTGTCAAATGAACTAGGATGGTATTGGAACTAGTCATAACTCATAAAAATGATATCATCAAACAAAATCCCCATATGTTTCTCTTTCCTTTTGTTTTGCTTCCTTGGATTGATTAGTAAGTTTAGTTTTTGAAGAAGGATCATAGAGGATAGTTTACTTCAAGAAGGAACTTTATTCTTGCTTCCCTCATCAAGATTATATACTTCCTCCATCCACTGTTCATGATTAGTTTGTGAGGAATTGAATTGCAAAAAGGGTTATAGGTCACAGATATACTGCTTCTTATCTCAAGAAAGAGCCATATCCTTGCTTCCTATAGCATGATAATAATTTGTTTACTTCCCATTCCCTACATCAGTGTTTGCAGCGTCTTCTTGTCTTGACGTCTTTTGTTCCTTTGGACTTTCTGGCTCAGAAAACCCAAGATATGCCCAGATTTCCACTGTCATTGGTTCCAAGTTAATCAATGTTTGGAATGAAATGGTTGTAGTTTCCTGTCACACCAGTCTTTTTATTCATCTCTCTCTCTTTTTTTTTTAAGGATCACTGTCAAATATCTTTATGAGACAGAATTTTGAGTAATAATTTTACTTCATAAAAGAGATAGCAAAGTCTATGAAAATCTTGGATATTGTTGTCTGTAGTTCTACTTCATGAACTTTATGTTAATTTATTTATTTATAATTATGGAGCTTATAACTTGTATTGTTTGTTCTGCTGTGCATTTATGCATATGGCTTTTTTGGTCCAACTCTTTTAGGCTGTTACCAAAGCAAAATTAGGTTATGACCCATTGGAGGTGAATCCTGAAGACATGGTTCGTTTTGCCAAAGAAAAGCCTCAGGTATGAGTTGCTATTAATTTTTAACTTTAGCTTGATGGCACATTATTAGTAAACATATTGTGGCTTATTGCTGAGCAATATTAACTTCATCCTCCCGAAATTGTTTGTATATATATTTCTGGTAAATGAAACTCTAGCTACATTCGTTTATAAAGCAGCCATATCTGAAAAGGGTTTTAAAACTCAGATTACATTTTTCACCATAGCATAAACAATGTTCATTTTTCCCCTAGTCCTTCCTTACATTAGATTGTGTCATCTTTAAACTTTCTCTTCCAGTTTAGCTTTGGGCGTTGATTCTTCAACTTTATTCTTTATCTTCAAGTATCTAATGGATCCTAGTGTATCTTGGAAATGTCATGCAGATGATGGCATCTTATTCTGTTTCTGATGCTGTTGCAACTTATTACTTGTATATGACATATGTTCATCCTTTCATATTTTCCCTTGCTACTATTATACCCATGCCTCCAGACGAGGTTTTGCGGAAAGGAAGTGGAACTCTTTGTGAGATGCTATTGATGGTCCAGGTAAATTATTTAGGCAATTTTTTGGTAATGTGTGTGGATTGGATTTTGTACTTTGACAATTATCTTACAGTTTTTGTGATTACGCAGGCATTCAGTGCAAATGTTATCTGTCCTAACAAACACCAGTCTGAGCCAGAAAAATTCTACAACAATAAACTCTTGGAGAGTGAGACTTACATTGGTGGTCATGTGGAGTGCCTCGAGAGTGGTGTTTTTAGATCCGATCTTCCAACTAGTTTCAAAGTCGACCCATCTGCGTATCAGGTTAGTCAGATGCTCAACGTGTGTTGTACAGAAGCTAGACCTTTTCATAATCCTTTTAGTAGATTAAGAATGGTGATTCTCATTAACTTATATATTTATTTCATCCCGTTAACTGATTCTGATCACTTGCATCTTCAGCAACTAATTGACAACCTTGATCGTGATCTGCAATATGCTATTAAAGTGGAGGGGAAGATGGACTTGGATTCTGTTGCAAATTACGATGAAGTGAAGGGTGCAATTAAGGAAAAGGTGCTTTTTTTTTTTTTTTTTTTTTTTTTTTTTTTTTTTTTTTGGTATCAGTGATGCTTGATGAATATCATATCATCTTCTATCCTTCATTGCTCTGTAATGTTTATTATCATAATATAATAATCTTGGATCCCTAATGTTTACATATGACGGGTGATTGTTGTCAATTCACTTTGAAGTTTCAGTACCGGCTTATCTTTTGTGCTTGTTATTTCCACTATCATATGCTGTTGGCTTCCCTATGAAACAATAGTTTTAGATTTCATTATGCAATCATTCTTACTTCTCTCTGGTTTGCAGCTTTCTTGCTTACGAGATGAACCTGTACGCGAAGAATCCCCCTTGATATATCATTTGGATGTTGCTGCTATGTACCCTAATATTATTCTGACAAACAGGCTTCAGGTGGGTTGTTTATTGGCTGCCCTTCTCTAGTTATATTTATGACCTTTGGAATTATCTCTATTCTATAAAGGAGCCCCTGAGTCGTGTAAATAATCGGAAGTTCCCTTGTTATTCTCTTAAATAAAAAACAGGTAGATTTGGGATGGAAAAGAATCTAAGAAAAGATTGGTTCTATAAATAACTACTTCGTAGTATATAGCATAGGATATTGATGGAATGATATATTTTCATACATATAGGCATATAGCTTACCCATATAAATTTTTCTAAAAGGAGTTGGATTGAATTTATACGTATGCCATGTACATTTTTTATTTGCCACTAATAAGCTTATTCATTTATTTTATGAATGTGATATATTATTAATACTTATGGAATTGATACATTGCATGCATGTAGGACTAATGATATTAAAGTAGGGCTTGCTAGGCTATGAATGTTTTTCAATCCGCTGTGGGCTACAAGGGTGAGTGAGTAATGGGACTGTAGGTGTAGAGAGATGGTTTTCAAAAGATTCATAAAGGAAACAAGATTTTGGGTATATGGGAGGATATTAGGGAAATATAATTGGAGTGACCTAAAAGAGTAAAAGCTTAAAAATAATGTGTATCAAAGGTGTAGGTGATAATAGGAGCCAGTAGGTTCATCATCTGCCGGCCCTTCATTGGCTGTATTTGTTATCATCAGTTAAATTGGCCTTACAAAACAAGCCTCTATGAATTGAAAATGCCGGTTTAGTTAGCTAAAAAGGCATTGAATTAATATTGCTGATTTGTTATTTTCTTCTGTTTGTTAAGTGACAGTTGTGTGAATATTCAGCTGGAGGCAAACAACTTTGATTTTGCCGCATAGATTTTTCTTTCAATTTCTTCATGCTGAACTATGGAACAGCTTTGGCTGATCTGGCCCAAAAAATACATTTTCCCTATTAGCCATTTTGCATTTGGTTTTCTTCCTTAAATTTTCTCTTTTGACCTATACATCAATACATACATGCTGTGTTTTCTGACTTTGCTTATGTTTCCAGCCCCCATCTATAGTTACAGATGAAGACTGCACTGCTTGTGATTTCAATCGCCCTGGAAAAACTTGTCTACGAACTCTTGAATGGGTCTGGCGTGGAGAAACTTACACGGCAAAGAAAAGGTATATCATCTCACGATGCAGTATATCATTTGGGAATGCGATACTAGGAACCAAAAACTGATTTTTTTGGTTTTTCTTTAAATTATATCAGTGATTATAACCATATAAAGAGACAAATTGAATCTGAATTGGTGGATGGCAATAATGGGCAATTTTCTAAGTCTTTCCTTGACCTCCCAAAGGCAGATCAACAGTCTAAGCTAAAGGAACGTCTTAAAAAATACTGTCAGAAGGTAATTTCTTGCTTCATTTTCTGACATTATCTTCTCCTTATATAGACTACGCTGATAAATTTCTATGCCATTTATAGGCATATAAGCGGGTTCTTGACAAGCCTTCTACTGAGCTTCGAGAAGCTGGGATCTGTATGAGGGAAAATCCATTTTATGTTGACACTGTGCGCAGGTAAAAATTGGAAATATCTTTATTTTGTGTTATGGAAGGGACATTGGTAAGTTAGTAACTATATATTGATTTTTCTGAGAATCTGAGGTTCCTACAGTCCTACTCTTGGAAACCATCTTCAGGAAAAGTAGTTTAGTGGTCTTCGAGCTTAATCTGCTTAAGTTAAGCTATTCTCACATTATGTTTGCTTCAAAATTTAAGTTTGTTTTGCTTTTCTGTTATTTAAGCTTCCGAGATAGAAGATACGAGTATAAAGGACTCAATAAAGTTTGGAAGGGAAAGCTGTCTGAAGCTAAAGCTAGTGGAAATCCTATTAAGATCCAGGAAGCACAGGTATTGCTGCATGCAAAGTAGTGATATTTTCCTGAAATCTCATATTAGAGGCTTCCCATGATGTGCTCACTTGAATAACCTGTTATCATTAATTTGATTATTGCAGGATATGGTTATCGTGTATGATTCCTTGCAGCTTGCTCATAAGTGTATCCTAAATTCCTTCTACGGATATGTCATGCGCAAGTAAGTTGCTTGCTTTATCCCAAACTTTGTGTTTTATATATGGCTCACGAATGCAATAATAATAATAATATCATTATTTTCACTCTTGGTAGGGGTGCTAGATGGTATTCCATGGAAATGGCTGGGGTAGTCACCTATACAGGGGCCAAAATCATTCAGAATGCTCGATTATTGGTTGAAAAAATTGGTAGACCACTTGAGCTAGACACAGATGGAATCTGGTGTGCATTACCGGGGTCATTTCCTGAGAACTTCACATTCAAAACAAAGTAAAATTTCAGTTTTGCTTCTGCTTACATGCCAATAAAATAGTACCTACAATTTTTATGATACTATTCCTATTCCCGTAATAAAGTGGCGATACTAATAATCTACTTTATTTTGTGCCACAGAGACTCAAAGAGGAAGCTGACAATCTCTTATCCTTGTGTTATGCTCAATGTAGATGTAGCAAGAAATAACACAAATGATCAATACCAGGTCTGTTGTATTCTTTCTCTGCTTGTTTGATGTAAAAGTTTCTTGCTCAAGAAAATGTTTTGCGTTTAATACCAAGCGTATAGTTAATAAGGGTATGATATTTGAGACATCAGAAAATGTTAAGAAGAGCTTTATGTTGAAGTACCTTTTAATCTCTAATTGTTATTTTATCATTTCCAATAACACCTTAAGGACTCCTGTTATTCTTTCTATTAGTTTTTCAACTAATTTAATCTTATCTCTCATCACTATTATTAACAGACACTAAAGGATTCTGTCAATAGAACATATGCAACACATAGTGAGTGCTCAATTGAGTTTGAAGTGGATGGCCCTTACAAGGTAGTTTGCATTTCTATATGATTAATCTTTCTTTCTTGTCATTTGATAAATCCAGTGTAACTCTAATTATCGCTCTTTGGAATATAGGCAATGATAATTCCGGCCTCCAAGGAAGAAGGGATCCTGATAAAAAAGCGGTATGCAGTTTTTAATGACGATGGAACCCTTGCAGAGCTTAAAGGTTTTGAAATCAAGCGCAGAGGTGAGCTTAAGCTCATCAAAGTTTTCCAGGTATCACTGTCTTTTATGCTTTCTGATGATGTCCTGCCCACATGTTTTACTCTTTTTTGCTTATTCTTTTTTTTTTATTCTCAGTAAATTCTTCTAGATACGTTTGATAGCTGCTACATCTGTATGCGTCTTTTCTCAACCACGGTTTTCACTGTTCAGAGTTTGAATATACTATGCTAGGAATGACAATGCATGCAAATAAATTGCATATATGTAATATGGTTTTCTGTTTATCAATTTCATGAATAACATATAAGCTTCCATACTATAGATTTCCATATCTGAATATAATGTGAGCTCTTGTAGCTCAATGTTATTTATATCTGCTATTGAGATTTTATTTTATTTTATTTTAAAAATTTTGTAGGCTGAGATGTTTGACAAATTTCTTGATGGGTCAACTTTAGAAGAGTGTTATGCAGCAGTTGCCGCAGTTGCTGATCGCTGGCTTGATCTTCTTGATGTACGTAAGCAGAACGAGAAAAATTCCAAAATAATCATATATATTTTGTATTAGGATCTGGGGCTCTTAGCAGACTACCCTTTGAGACTTATTTTTCTATTTTGCTAAAATTCTATCAGATTAGCATACTTAAGATAAGGGAAAGGTGTAAGGGAAGATATGAGACAAAAGCTAATCTGTTGCATTGTACTTTTTCAGAACCAAGGGAACGATATTGCAGACAGTGAGCTGCTACATTACATTTCCGAATCAAGCACAATGAGTAAGTCTTTGGCTGACTATGGAGAACAGAAATCCTGTGCAGTGACCACTGCCAAGCGTCTTGCTGATTTTCTTGGAGATACCATGGTCAAAGATAAAGGGCTTCTCTGCCAGTACATAGTTGCATCTGAGCCAAAGGTGTGACACTTTTATCTTGAGAAAGTTACTTAAGTTATGTATCTTGCCAGCTTTGTATGTTGGTCACAAATTATATATGGTCCTTGGCTAAGGCCTTTTTCGCAAAAAAAAATAGTGTCAAGAGTTGGTGTCCCCCCCTCCCCTAATATCCATCTTTGAACATGTGATGCTTAATGCTACTCCCTTTTCTCATTGACAGGGAACACCAGTAAGTGAGAGAGCAATTCCTGTTGCAATATTTGAAACTGAAACGGGTAAGCTGCTAATTTTAGTCAGTTTTTTCCTATAAATGTGTGTTTTTGGAAGAACATCTAATTAATGCCTTTGATTACAGAACTTATGAAATTCTATGTGCGGAAATGGTGTAAAACTTCATCGGATGTTGGCATTAGATCCATCATTGACTGGTCTTATTACAAGCAGCGTCTGAGTTCAGCCATTCAGAAAATCATAACCATTCCAGCTGCAATGCAAAAGGTGCTGATGAGTGATTGTGACTAGTTGTATCAGAAAACACTTATCATTTCTAAAAGTGAGTTTAATTTTTCAGGTTGCCAACCCTGTACCTAGGGTAGTTCATCCTGACTGGCTGCACAAGAAAGTTCGGGAAAAGGAAGACAAATTCCGCCAAAAGAAGATAAAGGATTTATTCTCTTCTAAGCGGGATTCTATGGAAAAAAACTGATGCAGCTTCCAACTATGCAGATAATGGAATAGATAAACATAAAGTTCCAGATTTGGAGGACTTTGGAAACTCAAGTGGAACTGGGGTTGGCAGTAGACCTGTTGTGCATAGCTATGAAGTAAATGGACAGCATTCATTGCATACGACAGCCTTAGATCACCAAAGTGATCATGAATGCACATATTCTCAGGACAACAGTTTTATCGAAGTAGATAAGAGTGAAGACTATGCAGGATGGCTTGAGCAGAAGAAGCGAAAGTGGAAAGAGAACCGAGAGAAACGAAAGAGACAGAGGTATTTTTCTTCTATAATTTAGGCTCCTATTTGAATTGTCATTAATTATTTCCTTTTGTTCATACCTCTATAGTATATAAATGGGAGAAACACTATTGCCATTTTCCCTAAAAAAGCATAAAAATGATGTCAACTCAATCTACAGTATCACTTCATCGTGTACAACAGAAGATGTTTTCAAGTAAATTATCTCCAATTTGTGATTCAATACTAGCATAATTGTGTCTACAAATCTATTGAACTAATTTCACAACAATGTGGTGAGATATTTGAGTATATACTGAAGGAATGAACCCAGATATAGAATGATCATGCATGAAACATTGCTTTTGAATTACTGGAAGTTGTTCGGTATGTTACGATTGCTAAATGATGAGCGTAGATGATTATAAATATAATTTCTTCATGAAAATGTGACTGATCACATCCTCATTTGCGTATTTTCCTCTCCACAATCCTATTGATACCTTAGTTTATTTGCCGATATTGCTGACTTTGGAGTACCAACGGCAGGAGGTCCCATACTAGGTAAGGTAATGATCCTTAATGCTATCAAACAGGATATTATTGAGACCTTTATTACTTCTGCTGCAACTACAGGAAAATAAGCTTATCAGCGTGACAGTGTGTAATGAATTCGAGTGTTATATTTCTTTCATTTTTTAAGGGGTGTCAAAGATCAGAAGATAAGCTACCCTTGAAGGTGTAGGGAAAGAAATTGATCATCCTTTTAATATTTTATTTTCTTAAATCTACGATAATATCTTCATATTTTCATAGAATCACTTATACGGAGTAAATTGATCTGAAGGTGTAGACTGTTTGCAGAAAATGCAATGTTGTGTATGTTGGAAGTAATGAAGTTTGTCAATTGATGTTATTAGTAAATGGTAATATATTTATAGAGCAGATTTGGTGTGGCAGGTTATCTAATGCAAAGACCCCAAAACAAGGTACTGGTGTTTCTGAGTTACATGAGAGTTTGACTAATCAGAAAAGAAACCTGGGAAAAACCGGAGTTACTTCATACTTCAGAAGGCAGGAATTGTCTCTCACTAGCAGCTACTGGCAGGTAGACTTGTTTCCAATCTTTTCTTAATTTATTTGTTTGTAGGCATGTAGCTCCTCTATCCTGGTCTTTGAATGCTCAAGTCCATTCCTTAACAGGTTCTGCAGCTTGTCCCAAGTGATTGCCCTGGTCAATTTTTTGCTTGGGTCATTGTGGAAGGCAGCATGCTTAAGGTTCCAGTTACTGTTCCTAGAGTGTTTTATCTCAACTCCAAAGCTCCAATAACTGAAGAATTTCCTGGAAAACGTGTTAACAAGATTCTTCCTCATGGACACCGCAGCCACAACCTGATTGAGGTAATCAGACTCCCAGTTTGCAATCTCATTTTTTGGCTATTTGGTTCAGATCTAGGATTAAAATTTTGTCCACTTCTTTCCTACTGCAGATAATAATTGACGAGAAAGAATTCAGAGAAGAGAGCAAGAGACTTATGGCTCATCTTGCAGATCCAGAAGTGGAGGTCTGATTATTTAGCTCCTTGAAATTATTTTGTAAAGGGATTGTATTGATTAACAGATGTTGATATATACCCCCTCCGTTTTTTTTAAATGCAACACTTTGAATTTTGCACTATTCACATACCATGGTTGACTTAATTTTTTCACCTCTAGAAAATAAATAGGTGTTATTATTAATATAGCATTAGATTAGTCATAATGTCTAGTTTCATAATATAATATGTTACAATTTTTACTAATACAATAGAAGATATTAATGGTCAAAGTTGCTTCTTAGCAAATGTGCCGGTCAAACTGATGCAAATAAAGGGAGTATCATTCATACTAATAGAGTATGAGTATCATTCATACTTTATTTCTTTACACGAAATGCATTTCAGCCTTGTGGATTCATCAGATATGTATGAAAAATCTGAGTTCATGAAGACTTAAACCTGAGATATTGATTCTGCTCTTTTAAATAATTTTCCACACCTGTAGACAAGTCACCATCATATCAGTAGGAACATAATTTATACAGCTCAGCAGTGGCCCTTATACTACTTCCGATTTTTTTAGTTTCAATTTTTGGGTATTTTTTGAGAGATAAAAAGTTGCAACTAAAAAAAATCGGAGGTAGTATTTATTTTCTTACTCTCGTCAAAGAAGAGATATCTAGAATCACTTCAGAATTTCTTAAGAAAGAGGATTTTACTTGCAAAAACTCCCTGGGTACTGAAAAAAGTGCAAGTTAATAGCATAAGAAAATTAAATTGTTAACTTTCCCCTTTCTTGTACTATTAGTATGTTAATTTCTGTGTAAAATCAGATCAAATTGTTTTAAATTTTTAAATTAATATTTATCCAAATCTTGCTTTTCCAACTTCATCTCGTACATGTTAAATAGTCACAATTGCAGTTTTCAGTGACGTGCTAATCTTTTGTCAATGTAGACATGTATATGTCAAATTCTAAATTCCGATGGCATATATCATCAATTTTTTCCCATTCGATATTAAACATGATCTACTGTGGATATATGAGCAGATTTTTGTATATGAATGGCTCTCTGATCCTTGTGATTGTTTTCTGAGATTTTTTTTTTCTAAGTTAATTTATACATCTTTTTTGATAGGGTATTTATGAAACCAAGGTGCCACCAGAACTAAATGCTGTCCTCCAGATTGGATGTGTCTGCAAAGTTGATAGAGCAGCTAAGAAACGAAATCTTCAAGCTATCTGGAGCCTAAATGAACTGCAGATGAAGACCACAGCAGAATGTCGATATCTGGATAATTCTCTCTCCTTCTTTTACTTGTATCACAGGTAAAATAGTTTAGCTTAGATAAAACTATTAGTTGCAAGAACAAAAACACTATACTAATGATTGTATGGTAGAAGTCAAGTCACATTTGAAGAGGGGTGCTGATTTGGATATTTTTCAAACGATCTTACATTTTGATATCTTCATAAGTGGATAATAATTCTTGAATATAGATTTCATAGTGTTCTTGTGTTGGCCTTGCCTGAAAAAAGGTACTCTATGACGTATGTGCTTTTTAATGAATAGAAACCACACCTGGATTCCATTAAAATTCTTATGCTCTTTAGGTACCTTCTAGAGAAAGAATCCAAGCATGTAAGAGGTGTTTACATTTTCTGCAAATCGATTTTGATTAGCTTATGGAATTCCTTCCTTGCCCTGAACATATTGATGTAGTACCTTAGTAATTATAAAGTTCGCAAGCTTGAGTCCCCTTCTTACATATTCGAGGAGCTGGGTGGATATTTATTTTCAATGAATTTATGTACTCTTCCAGTCTGCCTCTCTTTCTATTACTGCTGCCCTTTAATTCTTTTCCATGCAAGAATCTATTTTCATTAAATACATGCATTTTTGTGTGTATAAAAATTGCTCTGACAATTAGTTTCATTCTAAACACTTCAGTTGCTGTGAAGGGCGAGCGGTGTATGGCGGATATTTCCCTGCAGCTAACATGATTTCCTTTGCTGTGGTGGATCCCCACCAGAACAGAAGTTTGAATCCCACTAATATTAAGAGATTTTATCATGAAGTTTGTCAAGCTTTATCCGTTGAATCTTCAATTTCTCAGGGTGTCATGTCATACAAGGCAAGTTGGAGAACTTGATTTGAAAATATTGCTGTGTCCTGTGTATCTTTTTCTTTACATCATGACACTGATCTTTGTCTTGTACTAAAAATCCCAGGTGGACTATGTTGTTCAAAATGATGAAGCTGAAAGGATCATGCAGAAATTAATAAGTGGACACAGGTTTTTTTTTATACTCTGATCCATTTCACTTAATTTGTACTCCCTCCTTCCCTAAAGAAAATTCCATCTGATAATGCAAGTGTATGAAGGAGATAAGGGAGTTTGATGGTGTATATGGAATAAAAAAGCTGGGTTTTTTTTTTCTAATTACAGGTGAATAAAAGGAAGATAATGGGGTTTTGGTTGATTAAAGGTGAAAATAAGTTAGTAGTAAGGTTTGGTTTGTTGTTGGTGAATAAAGAAGAAGAAAGTGGAGAATCGAAGCATTCAACAGTGACAAGATTTTGTAGTGAAATGGGAAATATATTTGGGGACGGATGGAGTATACTGAACTAGCAAGTTTATATAAATTTCCATCTCCATCGAACTGAACCACCCCAACACAATAGTTAGTGAACATGGATACTTCACTGATATAACTACGACCTTATTTTGTGTCTTTGTGCCTGCGTGTGTGCCTGTGCAAGCTTGTAAGAAACCAATTAAAATGAGAAACTGAAGATACTAACATGCCGAGTAATATCAAAGCACATAATTTACTAATGTGGGTATCATCATATGCAATCATATCAAAGAGTGATTAGTTTTGAAAAGATCGAGCTTAGTCACATTAAGGAGGTCAATTTTAAGATTAGTAAGGTGAAACAATATGAAATTCTTTATTGATTGTTAGTATTGATCATTAGAAATGCTTTTATTAATGAGGTTTTTCATTTATGTCTAAGGTTTATATCTTGAGGACATCTAATCATTCAGCTCTATGCTTTTCTGCTTTATTTTTGTTTTCCTTTTTATTTTTTTTTATTTTTTTTATTTTAAAAGTTTCTTTGATCTTTAAATATGTGGCTTTATATCTTCTTGGGGAATCTGGAAAATTTAAAGCAACCACTTCCCTTAAACCATCTCTATGGTTTCCAACAGATTCAAAATTCAAATCTTTATTGGATATTTTTGCTTTGTTGAATCAAGCCTCTTCCTTCTTGAGAAATAAATGTATTGCTAAAGTGGCTGTCTTGGCTGCAAACATGAAGAAGAACTAAGTCTTTTTTTATGCATTTAAAGGTGGAATTATGGCTGTTATTTTATTCTTGACATGCAGTTTGCTTGTTAGAGTATCCTCTATCTGCTTTCATGGTTTCAACCCCTCCAATTTTCCTCCCTAAAGAGTAGAGAGCATAACATGCTGTCAGCTATTCTGTAAAGTTCCGAAAGGAAAAATAAATTATGAAGCTCATTTAATCTCGTGGTCTCCAGTCTCACTAGCTAAGCATTTTTTTGAGTTTTGAGAACCGTTTTTCAGCCTTTTCATGAATTTGTCTTTGCATATGCAGGCCGCACAATCACAGACCTTGCCTTGCTATTATTGAATGTCCAAATGTTCATCTTTTGAAGTCAGGTATACAAGTATTAAATGATCTTCCATGTGTGAGCATCCCTGCCAATGCTCGTGATAGTCACTATCCGGTACCACTATCTTACTTTTATTGTTCCTCAAGATAAATGCACACTTTTAGCTATTTTGGATGGTGACTATAATCATGCTGTATGCAGGCTCTTGGTTGGCAAACTGTAGCTGCAAAAATTGCTCTGCAGAGATGTGCAGCATCATCTCAATGGCTAAATGAGAGGATATCTCTCTCAAGATATGCACATGCAAGTGTTCATTGATTAATGCTGGAGCTTTTACTCTAATAATAGACCGTCTATGTCTGACACTTCAATGTTTTTTCTGAATGCAGGTACCCCTGGGGAATCTTGAACTTGACTGGATTATATACACTATAGATGTATTCTTCTCAAGAGCATTACGTGACCACCAACAGGTATCATGTTCTTGATTAGCGTAAAACATTTGTCGTTAAGGTCTAGATTGAAGTTTGGGCTACCTTATCTTAAGGGCCTCTAGTGTCAATGAGTTTTCTAGCTCATCAGCATTGACTCTCAGAGGTTCTGAAGTGTTTGATCTGTTGCAGTCACAAATTTGCCGATTTTAGGTTATACAATATTGTTATGAATCCGGCAAAAAAAAAAAAAAAGTGAATTGAATAAGAGCAAAAGACAGACAGAAATAAGACAGCCAGGAAATTTAGAACTGCCGGTGAAATGCATTATCCAATATTTCATTATTTCCATTATTGGTTTTGTTCTGAACTCTTCTGATATTTCCAGGTACTTTGGATTTCTGATGATGGACTTCCAGAACTTGGTGGCTTTAGTGACGAGGACGGATGCTTTGTTGATGAGGTTTGAATCAATAATCCAAATATTACAAGCATATATGTTGATAAAGCTTGTTTTTATAGCCTATGGTTCTATAGCTTGTGCTCTTTCGTTTATTTCCTTTACCGTGCCATGATATTGTCTTTAATCTTTATTCTTGTATTGGTCAATTTCTGTTTGGATTATGCATTTGAACTCAAATACATACATATTCTTAATAATTTTTGTCCAGCTACAACAGCACAAACAGACCACATCCCAGAATTGTACATGTGGCACCAGTTCTTTATTTTTTACGTAACTCATTTTTTTTGTGGTGCTTTACAGGTCAATCAACCCGTTCTTGTTTATCCTGGAGCATATAGAAAGGTTTCTGTGGAGCTAAAGGTTCAGTGGAAAAACCCTTTAACTTCTTCAGGGTCATGCCAGAGATTTGGTTTTAATATAATGTGGATTTTAATTCTTTGCAGATCCATCACTTGGCTGTGAATGCCCTTCTGAAGAGCAGCCAAATTAATGAAATAGAGGGCAGTGGCTTACATGGTTTCGAGCAAGATACAGATCCTGATACCTGTACATCAAGTGAGCAATATGAGTTTGACGAGTCAACTTTCTGTGGACCTGCCTTCCGGGTTTTGAAACAACTTGTACAAAGATGCCTACAAGATGCAGTTACGTCAGGAAATGTTTATGCTGATGCAATATTACAACATCTTTATCGCTGGCTTTGTAGGTTGGTATATTTGGTGTTTATAGAGATATCCTGTTTGCTAAGTTGTAAAGTTGACATTAATCAGTAATTTTTGTTCTTATTTCAGCCCGCGGTCGAAACTTCACGATCCAGCTCTATATAGAATGCTTTGCAAGGTAAATGCATCACTGTACACTTTACAGAACTGCTGCAAAAAAATTGAATAATGTTTGTCAGATACTCCTGCACAGAAATACTACTTATCACAAACATGATTTTCGGATGTTAAGAAAAAGCTCACATTTCCTAAAAATAGAAATGTGTTTATCGTTATCAAAACTTACTCAAATGGTTCCTAACAATAGAAATGTGTTTATCGTTATCAAAACTTACTCAAATGGAGTAGTGAATAGAATGGTAGGAAAGTCATGCTATATAGGGATAGTCGATAATGTGACTATTAAGCTCTGATGGAGGGAGTAAAAGCGTTTGTTGAAATACACTCAGGACTCCAATACTGTGAGGAGATGCCTACTTTGGCTACCTAGACCCTTTTTTTCCTCATTTATTATCTGTGGTAAACTGTAGTAACCTTTTCTTTTATTCGAAAACACAATACTAATGTCAATTGATTCTACATATATAGGTTATGCAAAAGGTGTTTGCATTGCTTTTAGCAGAGTTTCGCAAATTGGGTGCTACAGTCATTTTTGCAAATTATTCCAAGGTTATATTAGACACCGGAAAAGCTGACTTAGCTGCAGCCAGGGCTTATTGTGATAGTTTGCTAAAAGCACTCCAGACAAGGTGAGATGTCTGATAAGTATGTTTAATTATGATATGAATTCTGGGGATTCACTAGTTGCTTTCTTCAGGGACTTGTTTGAGTGGGTTGAGATTGAACCATTGCACTTCTGGCATTCCTTGCTTTTCATGGATCAGGTATGCTCCTCTCTAAAATACTTGCTTTGTGTACATCATAAGATCGTAGAATCTCATCTCATGCATGTATTTGTGCTGCAGATTGTATTGTCTAACAGTGTGTTTGATTGAAGTTTTTTGGGGAAAAGGAGAGTGATGAATTCATTTTATCATACTAGATACGGAAATGGGAAGGATAGGGACTAACTTTCATTATCATTTAATACTTGCAAGAATTTAACCAGCACAAAGTTTTATGCAATATATATTTAGTGGATTGTGGGCTAAAAAACCCTTTTTTCGTGGGGGTTGGGTTCATTTTTTATGTTTTATTAGGAAAGTGGAAAGGCAGTTAGTCCAATGAAAGAAGTGAAATCATTAAAAATAAATAGTGTGTCCAAATTGTCTGTGAATATTGGAATTGTTGCAAGTAATGAAGGGGCGGACCAATAAGGAAAAGTTTTGCAAGTTACAACAGTAATAGTATGGAGAGAGTAGTAGGGATTTAATTTAATTCTTAAAAAAAACTAGGTGTATCTTATATTGGAAACATTTGAAAGAGCCCAATTCTTTCTCTTCTCTATATGATTACTAATAAAACTCAAAAAATTGTGTATGGTTGTTTTCTTTGTAATCTGACTAGAGCCCAAGATAGGTTATTATGGATTTTAATCAAACGTAGTATGTTTAAGCTAACTTTTCTTCTTTCAGAGTGCTTTATTTTTGTAACTTTTATGTAAAAGTACATCATCTCACACTTTTGATTATTCTTATTGGGGTTGAATCTGCAAGATGATGGATTTGCACATTTTATGCACCTAAATATTAAAACTCTTCAAGTAAGAGGTTACTAATTTCCAACTCTCCTTCTATGACAGTACAATTATGGAGGAATACAGGCCAAAGATCAGGATGAATCTTCTGCCAGCATTTCTGCATCCTCTAGCAGATGCTTACCTGGTGATCTTCAAGTAGACATTGTGTCCAGTTGGAATATTGCTGAACACTTGCCTAAAAGTACTCAAGTAATCCTTTTCCCTCTTAAACTTTTGTAGAAGGAGAATATTAAATATTGATCTTTGTCAATTCTAGGCAACATTATCTAATAGTGGGAAAATCACAAGCTGATACTCTTAGAAGTTAGAACTCTCAAAATTACTATGGCAAGCCAGCAAGTTGAGATATATCTATCACGACCTCGAAAAAATCCTAGTGGACTAGACTGGGTACCTGAAATATTGAATTTAACTACCATTAAATCACATTGGAAAAATATCTTACATGCTGCATGATGGGTCAGTCTTAAATAGCTACACTAGTCGAGAAATCTTTTAAATAATGTTTTTGTATAAGCCTTCTTTTGAATTAATATTTTGAAATTACACCCCCCCCCCCCTCTCCCTCGAAAAATAAAACCCTCCCAAGAATCATTATTATTATTTTATATAATTCTCAGAGCAAAAATTTCAATATTAGGTAACAAAACTCACACTTAAGCTTGTTGGCTCTTGACAGGACCATTTTGTTGTGATGATCTCCGAGTTTATGTATAAACCATGGGAGTATGCTCTAAATCATGCAGCAAATGAAACATTTCTTGGGGATGGTGACTTGTGTACACCATCGATCACAGCTCCAATTGCTGAGAAGTTTGAGTCACATATGACTGAATATCTAAAAGATCAGGTTTGAACATAATACTAGATTTCATATAGTTGTAATTTGTAATGTTACTGTTGTTTGTGTCCAGGATTTTATATATACTGTAATTTATGAAGGATGTTTTCTGCTGCAGATCAGCTCTTATTTCTCAGATAAACTATTTATGGTTGTCCGTGAGATAACTCATCACTCAAAAGGAATGAAGAGGCCTCAGAATGATGATGATTTGTTGCAAGTGGACCCTCAGCTAACTGGGCAGGCTCATACAGAGGGTGTTGCTTTGGAATTTATCAAACACATTTGTGCTGTTTTGGTTTTGGACCAAAATGTTCAGCATGATGTACTGGTGAGACTAATGTTTTGCAATCCAAGTGCTATAAAATGATTATGTATCCTGCCTCCTTTAGTTTATGTATGATTTACCCTTAAGTGAATGCCTCATTGCAATTTTAATGTCAGCTATTGGTAGAGTATGCATTATATGTGGAAACTTGTTACTGTTTGTATGATAGAATCAGTTTTTTTACAAACATTTCTGACCTTTGAGCTTGGTTTGAGACTTAGCTCTAGAATGATTCTGTAAAGTTTGTTGACTTCTGCTTTTGTTTATTCTATAAGTGGCTAGACTGTATAAAGAATTGCGTTTACTTTATTTTAATGTTCATTTTAGTGCTCAGTATGGTTCCTTTTGTTAATTTAATAATCTTTAGATCCTAAACATCTGGAGACCCTTTGGATTCTATAAGTACATATAAGATTTGGTACAATTTAAGTATCATGGCCTACATGGTTGAGAAAGAGGGAATCAAGTTGCAATTATGCATGCATTATACTTCCTTCTGCATGCATCATTATGTGGGGTTTATATTGGATGGTTGTGTAATATTTATTCCGTATCAGATAATTGTTTGTAAAATTGAAAAAACCAACACAAGGTGAGGTTGCTTGAACAAAACCTTCTGGCATATTGCTTTGGTTCAACTGCATCAGCTACAGATTTTTATTACCTGGCTTTAGCTTCAGCAGTATGAAAGTTACTTCAATGGAGTTTCCACCACTTTTCTATTTAATTGACATATAAAGAAATATGTCGTGCTTTTACTAGAAAAGATTTTACTTTCAGATTTTGCTAAATTGACTGAACATGTGACTGTTATGGAGTCGAAGGAACCAGGTAGCAAACTAATATAGCTATTTCATTGCCGGATATTGTATGAATATTTTGCATCTTTGCCTCTATATATGTCCACAAGCTTCATGATAGTCATTACATGCCCTTTATTGCATGAGGTTCATGTTCTCACTGAAAAGTTTCTGTTTCAAATAGATGCAAGTGTAATTTTTTTGTGCATTCTGCAGGTCATGAGAAGGAATTTGCTTAGATTAATACATGTGAGAGAGTTTGCTCCAGAAGCAGAATTTTCTCCTCCTCTACCATCTTTTGTATTACCAAACATCGTTTGCAGGTAAATTCAAAAAGAATTCTTTTCCCTTTCCTACCCTATATCAAAAATGTATTTACTTCCTAGTAGGATGCACAATTCTAAAGCAGTTATTTTCAAACGGATTAAAAATTTGTACTGGAACAGCTATTGCAATGATGTCCGAGATCTTGACCTGGGAAGGGATCCATCACTACTCACGCAGGAGTGGCGATGTTCAATGCCACAATGCGGGCAGCCTTATGACAGAGAAAAGATGGAAAATTCTCTTCTTCAAATAGTGAGGCAGCGGGAACGCCTTTACCACCTGCAGGACTTGGTATGTGTCAAGTGTCATATGGTGAAAGATAGTCACTTGACTGAGCAATGTAAATGTGCTGGTGCTTTTAAGTGCCTGGAAGACGCGTCAGAATTTCATAGAAAAATGCAAGTTTTCTATAAAATAGCTGTGCAACAAAATTATCAACTTTTAAGAGAATGTATCTCTTGGATTTTAGAAATTAGATGATCCTAGTTATATAATTTAACATAGTTGATAGTGTAGTACATACGAAATAGTTTTACTTGTGCTTCATAGATGTGTACATAGCTATACATTTGTGTATAAAATGTTCTGAGTATTCTTTTCTAGGCTAATGTATCATAACTCTTGATTATTCCAAATTTTAGGCAGAAAGCTTTTGCCCACTCTTTTATGGGCAAATTGGTTCTAGTATTTACAGAAGTAAACTTCTAACAATAGAATTATATTTAATTACTCCATATATCATCTTTTATTACAACTGAGTCTCAAACTATACCAAAAATGTGCAAGGGTAAACTTCAAACTACAAGTTGAATGAAGTTATAACCTGAGATACGTATGATATGTTGGGTTGAGATAATGAATCTAATGAAAAGGGAAAGTAACTAGACTTCAAGAATGAAGCTACAAAAGTATCTGCATTACGGTTCTGAATCAAATTCAACTATTTCCTGCTTCTTATGACAATGCATTTTGTAGCAAAATTGTCTCACTTCAGTCACTTGTCCTTTGCTTCTTCAGTTCTTTGTCCAGAAAAACCATTTTTTGGTTGATGGAGTCTGAGTTGGCTCATTGGGCTCTCTCTTTTCCAGCCCCTGCTTTAAGGACTCCAATCTATTCCTGTGTATCATTCCAAAATTTAACTTATAAGCAATTAAACAGTCGTGAAGATTCTACAACAAAGTTTTTTTTTTTTCCTTCCCTCTTCCCAATGAGGCTTATAGATCAAGTACTGAAGCCTAAAATCATCTCAACTATTTACCATCAGATATTCTAAACTGCATTACTATATGTACATGAATGGGGGAGGAGAGTGGGGGAGTGGGTGTGGGAATGGAAGCATGCATCTTTGACCAATCTAGATGAACCACAGGATCATGGATTGACTAGATTTTACCTCATGTCTGTGAGACACCCATGCAAACTCCATCTTTGGCGAAATCCTTCAACACCTTCCATTCCACTGGCAAGAATCAAACGCCTGAAAATCATTAAAATAATTAGGTATGACAGAACAGAAAGTTTTAAAGAGAATGTCTCATCACATACACCATATAGTTTGAATGGCAGCACTTTGTTTTCGCCATCCTACCGTGGAACTGGGAACACACTATGAAGCACCAACCTTTCATATTTGTCATTGTAACCTAGAAATATTCTTCTAGATATTAAAGCTAGACGGTTTGTGCTAGTTACATACCCTTGTCATACAGCACACACTAATGAACAGATACAATAGCTACAATAATGAATTATGTTTCCCTGTGGCAACTGGAACTTGGGTAGGAATATAAGCTTTTTCTGGCCTTTTTCTATCAGCATGTATAAAGTAAAGATGCACTAGAATACATTATTTAAAGATGTGTTTCTAGCGATAACTAAATTTCGGAAGAGCTTAACCTATCTGTAGAATCTGAATTCAAGGATGATTGAATAATATGCAAACCATTATATCAGGGCCTTAGTGGTGTATTACTACAAGTAACAGGAATGGATTTTAATAAACTGGATTTGCATTTGTCATACCCATGCCATTTTTGAATAGAAAAACCTTTGACAACTTTTACACTTTCACAAAGTAGATGACAGATGATAAAAAATACAAGAGACATATCATAAGACCAACCAATCGCGCACTGCGTACCTTTCCAGCTTAGTGACTTCTGATTCCAGTTGAACAGCCCTTTCCTTGGCTTGATCAAGTGGCATTGATAAACCTAATTTGTGCTCACTTTCTTGAAGCCTTTGCCTGATTTCCTTATCCTATTATATTGTAGGTAGGGAGCAAGACGAGTTCAAGGTCTCACAGATCAAAGTTGACCATTATTGATCTAGTTACACATTTGTAAAGTAAATGATATACGTAGTATTTTTATGGAACTACTTTTGAAGATAAATTTTACAGTAGATATTTACAATCTAAATTCTAATTCAATCTTTTTGCAATACTAGAGCATTATAGTTTTCAACAGATTAATGGCCAATATTACTAAGCTTTGACAACAAAATGTAAACAGGAGCTTAAATCTCGGACAGAGAGAAACAGTAAGGAAAGGCATATATTATGAACATCAGATCATCTTACTCTTCTTTCAGCACACTGTCGATACATAGCAATCTCATCTTGACAGAATGGCTCAATATCATTGATCTGTAAACCTATAACAAAGTAAAATCACGAGAAAAAAAAACGCTGAGCTCTAGGTGAAATGGACATCACCATCATCTAAGAGTCAAAAAAGTTTTAATCAAATGTTTCATTTTCCGTAATGTTGTTCAAGACTTCTAGTATACTTCAAATATGCCAGTACCAGCTACAGTAAGGCAACACAAGGCTTTAGAAATTACTCAGCATCAAGAAAGCATCTTACACAAATATAAATTCCTCAGCAACCCATCGCATAAGTTGACACCTTCAAGTACATAAGGAGCTATCTCCGGAGGAATGATAGGTGATGGAGGCCCCGTCATTAAATCATCACCAACCAAAATAGTTTCCTCCATGGTTTCCTGCGAATCGACTGAATAGACACAATAGAATAATCAGAATTTAACTGCATGTCCTTATCACAGAAGAGATCTTTGTTTTCTACTAGTATATCTATTCTCATTTGTATAGCAATAATTTAATTAAAACCTTCATTATTCCTAAAATTTCTGACATGGACAAACATCTTAAGCAAATTATCTAACCAATTATCCTTCCTGATATGCTAATTTCAAACCAAACAAGTTATAGCATATACGGAGTAGAAAGTAAAGATATTGTAAGAAAAAACATTCGTGCAAATGCATGAGTAAGTTGAATCTTTTCACATACCATCCATGTTTGTTTTCTGATCCTTTAGACTTGCAGCAAAGTAAGAGTTGAACAAGAAAAAGCAGCACTAAAAACCTGAACTTCATCAAAAAGCAATACAATATAGGTAAGAAGATAAACCAAAGTTAATAAAGGACATAAAACCGTAATTCAAAACCCCAGAAATCAAAGACCGGAAAGAACAAAAGAACGATGAAACGGGAAAGAACCCAAATTAAATATCGTAGAGGCATTTCATCAAACAGGTAATATGCATTCCGAAAAATCCAAACTTTAATACATTCCTTCATGATCGTGCTACATAGGAAACTAAACATGGTATTCAAATGGATGAACTTTAAGCTCGAATTCACAAAGGGGTTAAAGATGAGCAGAAAATGTTACTTCTCCATTGTTTTCTTTTTTGAAGGTGGGTTTTTTTCCTGAAGATGACAAATGAAGAGAGAGAAAGGAGGAGAGAAATTTTACCTGAAGAAAATGGAAGTGATGAGTATAAATTATGGAGACACTGCAATTGAAGTTGCAGAAGAGAGGGAAGTAACCAATTGTATAGTCAAGTACTCCTTACATGTATTTTAGGAACGATTTCTAACTCCCTTGAGAGTTGAAAACTCACTTCAAGTCAAGAAGGGTTCTATGGCACTCTAGCCCAACCTAGGGGTTTTACTAAGCCTAGCCGACTCGTGATTAATTTGAGTTTCAATCGGTTTGAGGCTTTGAGCCGAGTATATTTGAAGGCGAGTTGAATTTAGATATTAGTGTTTTATTCTTAAAATCAATTGGTGATAAGTGGAGTAGCCCACCAGACTTATATGTTAATCAATCTCTTTTTTTTTTTTTTTTTTTTTTTTTTGATGAAAGACAACTAGTTTCAATTCACATATGAGTTACCTTCCTAACAATTCTCTTCAATTTTATAATATAAGTTCATCGAAATCTTCAAGAAAATGTATTGAACAAGATAGTCAATAGTGTAAACCACATTAGCTCATTTGATTAAATGGATCATAATTTATCCAATAAAATAGGGAAAAAAAATGAGCTTGGCAATGTAAAAACTTAAAAGTAGCAACTTTATGCATCTTTTTCTCAAACACAAACTCAACCCATGCTAACTCTAAGGCCCTCTACTAGTCTACTGACTTTACTCCCACCCCTTCATGTTGCTCCCTCCTAGTTTCCTCTCTCTATGACCATCTTCCAATATTTGGCAAACCATGCTAAGAAGTACGAACCACTATTTGCGATGTCTGCAAGCAAACAATTTATAGCTGTATTTAAAAGTAAAGCGATTTGTAAACAAACGAATTACAAAACTCCCAGTTTGGTTACACTATACAACATATTTTTTTTATCATTACAAAATTTTGGTATTTTACACAAAATGATCATATGATACTATTTGCTCTTTGATGCAAGCAGAACAATCAAGCATGATAAACAACACTATCTTAATATTAAGCACGCCTATACTCATCTCCACAATCACCAATCACTCTCAGCAGATCCTTCCCCCTGCTGGAAACATCTCGAATGCTGTCGACATCCTCCTCATCAAGTTCAAGAGAAAATACAGCATTAGCATCTTTAATATGCTCTGACAGTCCAAGTCTGACACCTATCATGGAACCTGCTACAGCCGGCTGCAATTGATCCAACAATATTGCAACATTCAGTTTCTCAAAACCAATCTTAGGATAGATGAAGATAATGATTTTACCTGATCTAGTATGTATTTAACAGCAACAGTCGAAATGGGCACACCATGCTTCCTGGCAATTTTGTTCAGCACTTGAAGCAAGGTTTGGAAAAGACTCCATCCTCCCCATGCATCAACCATCTGCCATATAAACAGAAAAACAAAATGCACCCAAGTCAAAAACAAAAGAGTGGAATATGACACAACCCATGGCTGTCAGAAAAATAAGAACACTTCCAAAGAATAAGTTATGCATTCAATTGTTAATAACACCACCGGAAATTAAAATAAATAATGTTACTTTGAATGATTAGATTGTAATGCTTCATCCAAATATATACATGTAAAACCCAAGAACACTTCCAAATGTTTGATGATAGATAATTCACCAAATCACTCCAAATTAAAGTTCGTTTACTTTCTTTCATCTCAGGCAAGTGCATAATTCTCATTTCTATAAAAAATTTGGAACACTGAAAAGGAAGCTAGAACAAGATTGCACGAAGAAAATCCGTACCCTTTTGTACTTCTGCAAGGAGGGAGTATTTAGTGAAGGACCAGAAAATGGAATGGCCAAATTGGTATCAAGGAACTTCTCAGATAAGAGACCACCCATAACTGTCCCATACCTGCGAACACATAATTATATAAGAGCCTTGGAATATCTTTAGCAATTTACATTTATAAACTACAATCACATGGACCTTTGGATCCAAATTGCTTGACAGGAAAGTAAGAATCTGTTTTCAAGGGGTAAAGGGTTAACAGAAAAAAAAGGTGGGAGAATACGTTATGAGTTTAACTCCAGTTTGCTGACAAAGCTCTGCCATTTTCTGCTGAGGACGCATATCAACGATAGAATGTTGCACCTAGAGTAGTTCAAGCATTAATCATACTGAGTTGAAAACCCACACCTTAGAATGGAGTTGCACATAAAAGAAGCTACATCAACAAATCTGAGTATCTGACTTACTTGGTTGCTCACAACAGGAATCTCATTTTCAAGAATTATTCGTAACCTTTCCGTATCAAAATTTGTAAGAGCCACAGTCTTAATTTTTCCTGAAATTACACATCTAATAATTGAAATCTTTGAGACTTTTTAGGTTGCTAACATTGATGGTAAACAAAGACCTAATGGAACCTTACCTTCATCTTTCAGATCTGTAAGATGTTTCAATGCATCAAGATATCCAGAATTGGAATAATCCCACCTATTTCAAAGTGAAAAAGAGGTGTTCAGAAGATGAAGTATCTAACAGCCAGAATTCACCAAAAATGGCTAAAATTTATCTGAAAACACATATTTCATATGCAAAGCAATAAGACCAGACATGTGTCCTTAATTTAACATGATTGAGCACAATTCTTAATCAACATTTTAAGGTACAGCTATGGCTGAATAAACACTTGAACCATGTTTCTCAAAAAAAATTCAAACGTAATGCTTGGGATGATAGAGCATACCAATGCTTTCGTAAATCACAATATATGCATTCAAATCCCTAAAGGTGCAGCATGGAAAAGGTCAAAATCTGGAGCATCCTTACCAGTGGAATTGTAGCATGTCCAAGCAAGCAACATCCATTCTTTTCCTTGAAACATCAATGTTCCCCTCCACAAAACTCCTTGTCATCTTAACTGGTGACGGAACCCATTTCGTGAGACTACAAATGAAATCAGTCAAAAGCAACATTAAAGTAAAAACCATATGATACACCAGAAAAATTACTCAATCAAATATCTGAGTTCCTCTTGAACTCAACAGTCAGAAGTTTACAAGCACGCTCATTCTTAGTCTAAGTTGCTTCATGATTTGAATACAATTAACCAGCAAAAAAAGGGATTATTACTAGTAATCTGGAATTTCTAACTCACCCTCTGACCTTTTCTAAAACCTCAGGTGGGCGCTCACGACGGACTCGATTAATAAAGATTCCATAAAGATCTTCAGCAGGTCCATCTGAAACAAGTACAGGCGTTCAAACTGAATCTCCTATCATATTGATTTTAAAAAATTGTTCCTTGAGATAAAGCAGAAAAGTATGCTTCCTCTAATATAAAAAGAATACAGACAGTATTCAAGTAATGTGCATAATTGGAATTGCATATTAGGCATGCACAAGCAGTAATCACCAAGAAATAATTAGCTATACAACTATATTAGTGCAGATTCAAGTTCTTATATGAATATATAATTTCTAGTTAGGTGCAAAAAAACAAAAAGATAAAAGTTACAAAATGTTGCATTTGTTTCCCATCTATCTTACTGCTTACATATATCAGCCATATCAAAAGTAGCAAGCCCCGCATCAGCATATCGAAGCATAGCATCAACCGCATTATCCCTATCGATTTTCCCCCACCCGCCACTAGTTTGCCACATTCCATTAACGACACGACACATTTCCAAATAATCCTTCCCATTCTTAACTACAACACTACTATTTTCACCATCAGTTGCTACACATGAAATTGGCCTCAATTTAACAGCTCCAATACCATTTCTTGTCCTAATTTTAGCTCTTACAGAAGTGAACACCAATCTGTAGCAAGAACAAGGTAGGATTTCTGTCATGTTTTGGGCCAGTTTAGTGTTTACTATACTAAAAATGGAGGAAAGTAAGAGCTGAATTTTGGTGTTTGCATCCTATCTTGTATCCGGTATCCCTCATTCAGTAGCCAACCGTTTATTTTTCAAAAATTTTCTGACTTTTATGCCCCTCTAAGTATTCACACATACACACAATTGGACATACTATTTCAATTTAGGTGCCATAAAAAATGAAAAGTGTAGAGGTGGCAATTGGGTCGAACCGTCCGAGTTGATTTGTCTAGTCACTTTCAAATGTATTCCAACCAAGTTTGTTACAAAAATGTCCTTATTAGACATGTAACTATTGGATCTGGTCAAATATAGCCTATATTGGTCACGCGAGTTTGGGTTTCCAATCAAGTATTTTAGGCCGTGTATTCGTATAATCTACTAATCGTACAACATAATGGCTATGCTATCAATAGTAAGGTACACCCGAGTGCCGAGTGCATCTACAAAGTATACAACTTGGGTACAATTTCCTGAAAAATTAATATAAATCAAACAAAAAAAAACACACTTTTCAAAAAAAAAAAAAAAAAAAAAAAAACGTAGCAAACGAAAATCTTAAATGAATGCATGTTAATTACAACCTCCGTTACAAGTTATGTGCAGAGAGGATTGTCTAATCATTGCACGTAACCTGTAAGGCTGTAACGGTAGTAGAAAAAGCGAGGATAGTTTTTGGCCAAGTGGTCTAAATAATGACCAGTAAAATAGAATGGCAAAAGCGAAATTAAAGCAGAAAAATGGGGGTAAAGAAGTTACAGTGATCAGCCATGTCAAAGGTGGAAAGGCCAGCATCAGTATAACGAAGCATAGCTTCAACGGCGTCGTTTCGGTCGATACGTCCCCAACCTCCACTGGTCTGCCACATTCCGTTCAAGATTCGGCATATTTCCACCGAATCGTTGCCGTTACTCACCTTGATAAGGCGCTTCTCCGTCGCCACCTCCGCCGTGGATTCGCACCGGGCTGAGCTCCGGCCGAGTGATGGCGAGTTACGCCGAGTTGTGGTAGTGGTGATTTTGATGGGTTTTAGAGGGTTTAGATGAACAAATGTCGACATGTTCTCTATTTTTCGGAGTAGAGTCGACAGTCGAGACTACAGACTAGTGAGGCGTGGCGTCACTGGTGTTATTGGAAGGATAAGGAAGTTATTATAAATTGTAACATGGCAGAAGTGGCGGTAGCGGATAGCTTTTAGCAGTAGCGGATAGCTGTTAAAGTAGTGATTAGCGGGTAATTAGTAGTGAATAAAGGTTAGCTATTAAAGTAACGGTTTGATAGAATAAGTGTTTGGTAAAAGTAGCGGTTGCAATACTAAAATATATCAAAATTCATATAAATATTGTTTAAAAAGTTATAAAATTTGCCAAACGCCAAACGCCACACGCTACTTCTAAACGCTACTATTTTTAACGTTTAAGAAAAATTACCTAAATACTACCTCTATCGCTAATCGCTACTAGAATCGCTACCTTGCCAAACATTCTCAAATTTTTTTAGTAGTGTTTTAACTGGTCAAAACGCTAACCGCTACCTCAAACACTACTACCGAACAGGGTCATACATTTGGATGGAACCTCGAACGCTACCTTCAATTTTGGAATTTTTTCCACACGAAAATAAAAATTGTCGAAGTGTTTACCATAGTCCCTAATATCCTCCGGGAGTCCAATTGGCCCGGTGGAATCATCCAATTTACAATTTACAACTTGCACCGATTTCATTAACTTAAGCTTACCACGAACATTTATGACAACATATAATGATCATATATGGATCCAAACGGTATTATATGACCCCGAGATGTATCCCCTAAAATCTCAATGCTTTTCGATACCGAGCCTCGAAACATTCGAAATTTCTCAAAAGGCGTGGATATTAGCCTTTTATTTTGGAATTTCTTTTAATTTTGTTTCGCCTGAAAATAAAAATCGTCAAAATGTTTACCATGGTCCTTAATATCCTCCAGTAGTCCAATTGGGTAGGTGGAACCACCAATTTGCCTCTAAACAACCAATTTACCGGTTTACAACTTGCACCGATTTCATTAACTCAAGTCTACCATGAACATCTATAACAACATATAACGATCATATTTGGTTTCAAACGACATTATATGACCCCCAGATGTATTCCCTAAATTCTCAAGACTTTGCGACATCGGGCCCCGAAACCTCCAAAATTTCTCAAAAAGCGTGGACAATAGCCTTCAATTTTGGAAAATTTTGACTTTTTTCGCCAGAAAATAAAAATTACTGAAATTTTTACCATGGTCCCTAATACCCTCCGATAGTCTAATTGGGTGGGTGGAACCATCCAATTTGCCTTTAAACGACCAATTTACCGGTTTACAACTTGCACTGATTTCACTAACTCAAGCCTACCACGAACATTTATGACAACAAATAGTGATCATATATGGTTCCAAACGACATTATATGACCCCGAGATGTATTCCCTAGAATCTCAAGCCTTTTCGATACAAGGCCCCGAAACCTCCAAAATTTCTCAAAAAGCGTGGATATAGCCTTTAATTTTGGAATTTTTAGACTTTTTTTCGCCCAAAAATAATAATTGTCGAAATGTGTACCATAGTCCCTAATACCCTTCGGGAGTCAAATTGGGTGGGTGGAACCATCCAATTTTCCTTTAAACGACCTATATGCCGATTTATAACCTGCACCGATTTCATTAACTCAAACCTACCACGAACATTTGTGACAACAACTAATGATCATGTATGGTTCTAAACAGCATTAAATGACATTGAGATGTATCCCCTAGGATTTCAAGACTTTTCGACATCGGGCCCCAAATCCTCCAAAATTTCTCAAAAAGCGTGGATATTAGCCTTTAATTTTGAAATTTTTGACTTTTTTTTTCGCCTGGAAAAAAATTGCCGAAATGTTAACCATGGTCCCTAATACCGTCCGGGTGTCCCATTGGGTGGGTGGAACCATCCAATTTGCCTTTATACGACCAATTTACCTGACTGGGTAAAGTCGTATCCCCTAATAAAAAATAATTCCAAAGTCCTCTAACTAAAATAGATAGGGAAGTAAGGTCGATCTCCACAGGGAAACAAGTCTTTTTACTCCTAATTAATTATTATAATCTAAATTATCTAAGTAACCAATAATTATATTTGAGTATGAAACTAAACTACAAAGATTGAGAATAGGAAGAAAACAATATATGAAAGGATCTAGGGCATAGGTTCACCATAAATAATACTCCAGGGTAAAACATAGTAATCAATCATTGACATTGCATAAATAACATGATTAACAGGCTCTCGCAATTTATTAATCAACACATATCTAACAGGCTCTCGCAATTTACTAGATCTAAGCTCTTATTGAAAATAGCCTTTAATATCAAATTAACATCTGCTCGATTCATCAATTTAATATTGCTATACTTTTACAAGCCGCAATTGTAAAACATTAAAACAATTCAATAAGAAATTATCATGCAATACCAATAATCAATAATTGTCAATCATCAATGCATCAATTAACCAGATTGTAAAGGGCTTTCGCTATGTATTACAATCACAGAATTAATCTACCAGTATTAAATCTCATCTCTCGAATCTCGACTTAACCATTTATAAATTAATCTTCCTATTGAAACTAGACCTAAACATTAATTCTCATCTCTCGAATCTTGAAACAATATTGTCAAACTCATGCATAAAAGATAGGCCTAATCTAGTCACAGAGCATTAAATCAATTAATAGGAAATTAATCTAGCATTGATAATCAACAACAATAAATTACCCCTTCATATTATTTATTAGATCCCCATAAACCCTAGAAATTAAACTACTCACACATATTAAAAACTAAACAAATCAAAGCAATAAAATAAGACATGATTAAAGGAATAGAATAAATAACTAAGATTAAGAGAAGAGGAATCGTTACCAAAATAAATCTGGAATTAAGAGTAGATTAAGAACAAAAGTTTAGAGAGAGAATTCTAAGAGAATAATTAAGAGAGTAAAAAAAAGTAAAGTGGAGAAGAAGAAGAGGGGGTCCTAAAAACGTATTACGGAGGAGTATTTATACTCCGTACAAAAATCCTAAATTAAAACAAATTAAACATCTCCTAAAAAATACACACTAGTAGAAAAAAAGCATTAGGCACCCCTCATATGGCACCGGTTCAGGCTAAACCGGTGCCCAAAACCGGTCTAGAATTGGGCGGGATTTTACCAAAAGAGAAAAGGCACCGGTTCAGGCTGAACCGGTGCCAAAAATAAAAAAGGCACCGGTTTGAACCGGTGCCAAATTCAAAAAAAAAAAATGCCGCGTCTTTTTCTCTTTTCTTCCTCTCTTTCTCTTTCCTTCCCTTCATTCGTTCATCCCTTCTTTCATTCTCTTTCAGAGTATTTGAAGTGCCTCCACCTTTTCCCTCCACCACAGCCGCCACCTTCACCAGCGCGCACCGCCTCCACCTCCACCTCCATTGTCCCTGCCCTGCCCTTCTCTGTCTTTCACGGCCGGCCTCCACCGCCCTTCTCTGTTCGAAACAAATAACAACGCAGCAGTGCGCACCGCCTCCACCTCCACCAGCGCGCACCGCCTCCACCTCCTGTCGAACTCCACCAGCGAGGGTCTTCCTCATTCTCTCATCCCCTTAGCTTCTTCCACCTCCAACTAATTTAGGGTAATTTCATCTTTTCAAGTAGAGCAAATTGGTAGATTTGTTATCTATCTGCTTAGATTGTATATGAAATGCGAAGAAAATTAATGGGTTCATTTTATTTTAGATTAAAATTGTGCTACATTGTAACTTGAATAGATTTGCTCTACTGGTGTGATATTCAATGTGGGAAGTCTATATGATGGTAACAAGCATTTTGAACAATTATTGTTAAGAAAATTTTGAATACATATTATACAATAGATTAATTTTGCATTACCTTGTTCCTTAGTTGAAAAATTTGTATGTTTTAATGGGTTATTTTGAGGTTGATTTAATGAGTAATTATGAATATAATAAAGATTAGTAAAAATGTTACTTAATTAGTTGAGTTTTTGTATGTTTTAATGTGTAATTTTAGGTTGTTTTAATGGGTAATTGTGAATATATTAATAATTTTGCATTACCTTGTTCCTTAGTTGAGTTTTTGTATGTTTTAATGTGTATATTATTGACCTTGCTTCTAATTAGTTGTGAATAAATTAGAAAATTGTGAATAAATTAGAGAATTGTGATTACATTATAGATTTGTGAATAATTTAGAGAATTGTGATTAAATTAGAGAATTGTGCATAAATTAGAGAAATAGTGGTATTGCCACTTAATTAGTTGTGAATAAATTAGAGAATTGTGAATACATTAGAGATTTGTGAATATATTAGAGAATTAGTGACGTTGCTAATTTTTGTTTTTTTAATATATAGATTCATATGTGAATTGAAGCACGAGTTTAATTAGCTTGAGGACTACATATTGAGCTCAAGTGGGTAGTTGCTATACTGGTATGACTTATAAACTTTACTTATTAGCTATATTTCTTTCTATTTATCCATTTAATAAAAGGTGATTCATGAAATTGCAACTTGTGTATTGTTTAATTGCAAATAAATACAACA